GTTTTCTACCTGTTCATCTTTAGCAGAATCACCGTGACGATCACTTTGAAGTCGCTGTGTGCTGGTTTTCATCTTTGCTTTGTGTTCATGCCCAAATTACTAAGACAAAGATCACATGTGTGTTGTCATTAGGATAGTGATTTGTGTTGGTGTGTGTGACTGTAACCTATAGGTTTATACTATTAACTGATTATTATATGACAGCATGTTTCAGAACATTTTACAGAGTAACACGAATGGACTGTAACAAGAAGTATAACAAATTACTTTCTCCTGTGAGTAATTAAATAATGTACTGCATTACTATGTAATATGTGTAATACATTACTTTTTAAATAACGACCACAACTCTGATCACAACAAATAGGTCAAATACCTCGAACATGCGCAAACAGTTCACCACACAGCCTGCAATTAATTTGTATGACTGGAATATCTTTGAGAACCCAATGAGAATCGATAAGGAACTGAACTGATAAGTGATATCAATGATAAAATCAGAATCACTACATTCTCATCAATCCCCATCCTTCCTGCCAAGGATCGCACAACCAGTTATCCAGTTTAGGAGACAATGGCTTTTTCAGGGTCGTAGCTTTTTTTCCCCCTTAATATATGAAATCATCATTAAAACTGCAGTTGTATTTGCTCGGCTTATCTTTGTTTAATATTAAAATTTGCTTGATGATGTGAAACATGTAAGTGTGAAGAATATGCAAAAACAAAAAAATCAGGAAGTGTGGATTGTGTACACACACAAACACACACACACATATACACACATATCAGCACTACATAACATTATATCTTCCTGAGAATCAGCCTGTCCATTTATGTCCTCTCCAACGGACATTTGTTTTTGATCTATATTTTTTTACTTATTTGAGCTGCCCCACTAAGTCCTGATGCTCTTAATAGAGGACATCATGTGCTTTCCATTGATATCTCATGTGTTTAAGTGGCCTCATTTAGCTCCAAAAGGGAAAGGAAATCACCAAAAAAGTTCTTTTATCTCAGGAGGATCTTTAGGTTTCAGTGTTTTTTACTCACCGCTAGTCTGATTCAAACGCTCCATTAGCCAGACGACGTGTGCTTTGATCGCTTGCTCATTGTGTATGTTTCTCTGTCTCTCTCTTTCCCAATATTCAGGATCTACAGTTTTCTCAATCCACTCAGTCTTGGGTACCATCTTCTTCAAGCTGCTCTTATAATGCACAAACTCCTGACCATTTACAAATATGACTTCAGTTAACTCAGGAGATTCATTCCAACCAGTGGCTGCAGTCTCAATGTATGTCATAGTGTGTCGCTCTGAAACAAACAAACAAAAGCAAGTTGCCTTCAAGTTAAATTTGTACTTAAATATTTCTGACTAATAATTACCATTCAGCTGGTAAAAATGCAACAAGATGCATTCAAACACTCTGAGAAACATTTCAGACAACACATATTCTTTTGTTGTTAAAGTGGATATAAAACTGCACATATAAAGACTA